CTATGACGTACCAATTCAATCATCATCCTCCTCCTCTACGACTACTGCCGTTCCTGTTCTACCACACCCTGAACACTCCAATGTCTATGTTTCCCAACCGTATGAAGCAATACCGGACCAACTCTATATTTTGCAGTCATGCTGGGGACGCTCTGCGCAACATCACTCTCAAGGAACTACCACCTCCTTATACTGGCCACCATGGCGGTCTACACCACCTTCGTCACCACCGGCAACATTACAACGTACTTTACATCTCACTCGGCCTACCGTCCCTCCTCAACAAGTACAAGGTCCACTGGATGCGAACGATACGGACCCGATGGATATGTCAGACTCCAGTGTGTAATACACCACATTATTTGTCGGCACCGGAAAAGAACAGGGCTTTACCGTCTTTTTGTGACCACTTTCTAGGTAACCCGTTTCTCTTCAATTTTCAACACTTTGAGCTTTATTCCTTGGTCATTATTCACCTATTCTGCAGCTTGGGCTTTCCGCTTTATCTTCGACACTCGACATTAGATGCCATGGCTCGTTCTTCTCGACCCAATCCATATCGCGCTACATCAACGATTGAGACACCGCTGGGTACACGAACCATTGGATGGTTTGCTGGACATCGAGGCATTCCTGGTGATGCAAACCCTCCTCCAAACCGACCTGTTCTTATCCTGGTTGACTTCTCTCCTCTACAGGCATTGACTCATCGTAGCGAGCCTGACCGTGAACACTACATGGCTATGGCCAGCTCCAATTTCAGAAATGTTAGTGGCTACGAACTGGAGGCTCTATTTACCTGGTCACGTCAGATGGAACCAGTTGAAGCCGGCCTCATCCCAATTGCCGAACTACGCTTCTGTATTTCCAAAAGATTGAGGTCCCAATGGGACATCCAAATTGATCCCTCGAATTTGGAGTTTCGCTTTTGCGACCTGGACGGTGATACATTCCAAGTCTCCAATGATATGACGGTCTTGCAGCTTTTGGAGGAATACCGACCTGAATGGCGACTTCGGCAGTACAATTCCCGCGAATCCTCTTTGCTCATTCCGGGTACCACACAGCCTTTTGTACTACGTCTGCAATGCTACAAAATTAGCTCCGGTGTGATCCTGCCCTGATACGCTTGCCGGCCAAAAAAGACCATACTGCAGGGTTTTCCACTCTCCCTTGACTCCTCACCAACACACAGGATTCTTTGATTCCTACTTTATTTGACTTTGTGCTGTGGCTTCTCCGCCGTAATTGAACCGCTTGATTGGGGACTGGACTTCACTTTTATTTTTTCTTTGTGAATGTTATCTTTTTCGTGATTGGCTTATATTTGCAATTCTTGATGCCTCAGCCGCTGTTGCACTATTTCTCGCATTTCTAACTGTTTCACCCATGGAACACAAACGAGACGCGACCGTGGCGGGCTTGTCTTGGCCTTCGAATCCTACCCGTGGACTCGCTCCTACCAACCCAGTTCAAGTATCAGACGCCCAGACTTCTGCACTATGTCACTCAGGCCCTCCCGACACTACTACCAGCCCTACGTCGGCACCTTTGGTCAATGACAGCACGGCTCCTGACACGGGTACTATGGCCCATTCTGATACATATTCAGGACCAGCACCTCCTGGCGTTCCTTTTCCGACGGAGTCAAGTCCTACACACAACTACCTCCATCGTGCTCAATTCTCTTCTCGCGTGGTTCACCAGATCCAATTCAAGGTCATTACCCACTCCAACAACACCAGGGAGCTATTCATTGAAGAAATCCCCTTGTTAGGGCATTCCCGATGTCGTGACCCTGAACACTATTTTTATGGTCTTTCGGGCAACTGGGAGTGGTCCCTGCGCACAGCGGACTATTGGCGACATCATTTTGAGATTCCCCTTGTACACGGACACCATCCTTTTCACAATGTGCCCATTGAGACGACATCTCCTGGAGATGAACCGAGCCTGACCACCCGGATCCATGAATTAGCCAAAGATCTATCTGATACCTTGAAGGCTGCTACGGCATCTGGGGAATTCGATCAGACTTGGGCGATGGTTGAACGCATGAGCTTCCACGATGCTATGGAAGTCCTTCTACAAGCTCCGAATTCCTCTTCTGATTGAAGTGATCGCCCGTTTGTGCATTAGGTTCTTACAGGTTCATTTTCACTGGTGTATTGCCGATTCCGCCAGCGAAGTTCTTCCAAAAAACCAACCTCGCTACATGCGAGGTGTGTGTGTGTACCATCTGAACAGATGTAAAACTTCTGATTGGTTTTCACTAATTTGCAGGGGAGTGGTGAGCAATGATGAAGTCACCACTCAACGAAGACGCTTCATCATTTGCTGTGATATGACGAAGGGACGCCTTTGTCACGTACCTGCTTTTTTCGGACATAGCAAGGGGCCAAGCTAAGAACCCCAACCACAATCTTATACAATTTGCTGCACTGTTGTCGCAATCTGGAATTACTTTTGGTCATTTACTATTGATTCAGTTGCATCAGAACCTTCCTCAGAGCAAGGACGTAGAAAGCACCTATGTATTATTTTGTTTCCATGATCGCCGACAACATCGTCGCCGATGGTATTCATCTAAGTTTCGCCGACGTTATTCTTCGCCGATGGTATTATTACTGGTTTATTCATTCTATTTGACGTCGATTCTGAACCCTATGACCATTCTGAAGTACTTCTATTATTCGTAGGATGCATTGTTAATTTCAGTGTTTCGTACTTAATCTGCATGTTTCAGGATTCAGTTCCTGCCGGATCATATAATGATCCATTCTTGTCTAGTGTGTGTGTGTCTCTAAGAATAATGTATGATAATGTTGAGGATGATGATGATGATGATGTTGATGATGTTGATGATGTTGATGTTGATGTTGTTGTTGATGATGATGATGATGGTAATGTTGATGATGATGATGATGATGTTGATGTTGTTGTTGTTGATGATGATGATGATGCTGATAATGTTGAGGACGATGATGATGATGATGATGATGATGATGATGATAATGTTGAGCATGATGATGATGATGTTGTTGTTGTTGTTGATGATGATGATGATGAGGACAATGATGATGTTGCGGACGATGATATTCAGTATGATGATGCCAAGGACGATGAGGTGCAGGATTATGATGTTGAGGATGATGAGGTGGAGGATGAGGTTGAGGATGATAAGGTTGAGGATGATGATGTTGAGGAGGGGGATGAGGATGAGGATGATAATGCGGAAGATGAGGTGGAAGATGATAAGGTGGAGGATGATGATGTTGAGGAGGAGGAAATTGATGATGTTGAGGACGACAATGTTGAGGATGATGATGAACATGATGATAATGTTGCGGAGGATGATTATGTTGAGGATGATGAGGTGGAGAATGAGGTTGAGGATGATTATGAGGAGGATGAGGATGAGGATGATAATGCGGAAGATGAAGTGGAGGATGATAAGGTGGAGAATGAGGATGTTGAGGATGATGATGTTGAGGAGGAGGAGGATGAACAAAATGATAATGTTGCGAAGATGAGGTGGGTGATGATGATGATGATGATGATGATAATGTTGAGCATGGCGATGATGATGATGTTGTTGTTGTTGATGATGATGATGATGATGATGGGGACAATGATGATGTTGCGAACGATGATATTCAGGATGATGATGATGCCAAGGACGATGAGGTGCAGGATTATGATGTTGAGGATGATGAGGTGGAGGATGAGGTTGAGGATGATAAGGTTGAGGATGATGATGTTGAGGAGGGGGATGAGGATGAGGATGATAATGCGGAAGATGAGGTGGAAGATGATAAGGTGGAGGATGATGATGTTGAGGAGGAGGAAATTGATGATGTTGAGGACGACAATGTTGAGGATGATGATGAACATGATGATAATGTTGCGGAGGATGATTATGTTGAGGATGATGAGGTGGAGAATGAGGTTGAGGATGATTATGAGGAGGATGAGGATGAGGATGATAATGCGGAAGATGAAGTGGAGGATGATAAGGTGGAGAATGAGGATGTTGAGGATGATGATGTTGAGGAGGAGGAGGATGAACAAAATGATAATGTTGCGAAGATGAGGTGGGTGATGATGATGATGATGATGACGATGATGATGATGATGATGATGATGACGATGACGATGATGGAGATGAGGTGGAGGATGATGATGTTGAGGATGATGATGCCGCGCCCCAGGACTGCGACACAAGTTTTGTGCGAGCCTGCGCAGTCGAAATGCAAATGGACATGTTGCAGGAACAAGTTTAGAGTTTAGAGCCATTTTAAACGAAAATTTGCAGGATAAAGGGCGGGAAACCAAAGTGAGCACCTCGATCAAGTGGCCTTAACTCTCACCTGAAGAACCCTTCAGTGTGCTGTTTGGTGAAAAATTACCTACATGCCCGCCGCATTTCAGATTCTATACGCTCAGCACTACAACTTCACACCATACACTGCAAATTTTACACTCCACACCCTGCACACTCCACCCACCAGTTGCCACACTCCGCATTTCAGACTGCAAACTCGACATTCCACATTTTAACCTCCCCACTCCACCCCTCTCCGCATTTTACGCTCTACACTCCACACAGCTTCCTACACTAGACACTACTACACTTCACACGGCTGTACCCTGCAGACTCCACACAGCACTATACACACTCCACATTATACGCTTCGCACTTCACAGGCCACTCACTCGACAGTCCACACAGACTCAACAGGTCCCATTCTCATTACACTGCAAACTCTACCCCTTCACGCCCTATACATTCAACACTTACTTCACACTTTAGACTGCAACCTCGGCCACATTCTACACACTCCAAGAGTCCACACACAGAGAAATGGTGCAAGATGGTGCAAGGTTCAAAGAACGTAGGCTAAGTGTAAAAAAGAGTAGGCCAAGGTTAAAAGAGTGATCCAAGGTCAAAAAAAGAGAGTTGCTCATTTTTTTTTGTGTTTTCCCCGTTTCTGTTGAAGGCTGCTTTGGATTGCGTGGGCGAGGAGGCGAGGACTGGAGATAGCGTGAGATCTTGCAATTTCAAAACTTCATGCAATTTCCATACCAAGTCTGGCCAAGCGATGCATCGTCACCTGTCACCTGTCACACTTCAGAGGTCAAAGACATCTTGTCTCGTGCCAATGTTCTTTGGACTGAGGTTGTCTCTTTGTGGATCGAGAAGAATGGCACTGTTCAGTGGAGATCCACGTCAAACCCACCAAGTCCACCTATTCCACCTCCAGTTCCACGTGACAATTCGTTAAACGTGTTGAACACAATGCGCGCGCTGCGCACAGAGTCGAAAGGACTGAATGCATTTGTCTCTCAGGCCAGGCTGAGAAGATCAAAGAGATCAAGTGATATCAAGTGCATATCAAAATATATCAAGAAATTTGGAGACCAACAGCGATCTTGTATGTTTGATCATAGTATGCTGCGGAACTTTCCAAAAACATTCGCGAAAGTTTTTAAATCTGTCCAAAAAACGTTCCTAGTTGGACAATTTTGGTCTGTCTATCTTGGCCGTGTTTGTTGTTCTCCAGGCCCAACGTCTTTTTGGAGCCTTTGGAGGTCCTGTGCTGGCTGAGCTCACCCAATCAGTGTCGACGTCCACGTGGTCCACGTCGTCCAAGAACCAAAAGGACATTGGTCCAGGAGAAATCTCAGTCTTGGCGGTGAATGGTTACATGTTGGTGGTCAACACTTGGCCCAAACTGCAGGCCGGGGGTGAGCAGGGGATGAGCAGGGATGAGCAGGGGTGAGCAGGGGTGAAGGCATAGGTTGACATAGATTGATGCCGACTGCACAGGGGAGCTGCTTTCTTGTCAGATTTCCGGTTTAAACATGAACAAAATTGGAACATGTTTGAACGCCGAAAATATCTTCGAACTGCGATGGCGTTTCATTGCTTTTCCATGCCTTTCCTATCTTGCATCCAGAATCATCCAGTCTTGCTTCAGGTTCAGCTCTTCAACTACTTGCATCCAGCGCGCTATCCCATCCATGCCCTCGCGCCCGGCGGGCAAAATGTGGAGGTCCTCATGGACTGTGCTGGAGGAGACCAGAAAAAAATCCTTAACAATGCTTGGGCGCATGGCACAATGACGGCGCAATGGCGGCACACTCATGGTACAGTTGTTACAGTGATCGCACTGGGAAGTCTGCGTTTTTCTATGCCAGTGGTAGTCTTTCCATGTCTTTATATCCTTTGAATCCTTTCATGGCATGCATGTCGATGCCAAGAATGTGCGCCATCACTGCAAATCATTTAAGGGCTGCCGCCCCTGCCGCCGACCCCGGAACAAGCAACCGAGGTTGGCTGATCTTTTGGGCGTGTCCCACCATTTCGAATGGGCCATATTTCGTCTTTCAAACAACCTCACCTGCTTACCTAGTGTCATTTCTTATTTAGAAAACTGCGAATTGTGCGTGCCTCGTGTGCACAGATGGGCATGGTGGTGTCCGACAGTTTGGATGAAACTCATGCAGCCAAGATTCAACTTGAAGTTTTATGAACTATTTCAACATCCAGCAAAGAAGACCATGCTGAGATATGCTGAAACCCTTAAACTCAAACCCTTGTCGTTTTCTATTGCTGCTGCTCTGCTACTGCTACTTGTGAGCCGCCTCACCTCCAAAAGCACCTGCCGACAGCAAAACACCATGCCACTGAAGAACGAACAAGTCCTAGAATTCCACGGAAAGATGCCTAACGTTACGTCTGAAACCGCAGAAAAAACTATTGTTTTCGAAGGTCTTCCTGCTACTGCTGGCTGCTACTGCTACTTGCTACCTGCTATTGTGCACCAAAAGCAGCTGCCGACAACAAGCTACCCTACCTCCTACTCCTACTTGTGGACCACCACCAGCAACAAAAGAACCTGCCGACAGCAAAACACCATGCCATTGAAGGACGAACACCACCAAAAGCACCTGCCGACAGCAAAACACCATGCCACTGAAGGACGAACAAGTCCCAGAATTGCACGGAAAGATGCCTAATGTTACTTCTGAAACCGTAGAAAAAACTATTGTCTTTGGAGGTTTTACTGCTACTGCTGGCTGCTACTGCCACTTGCTACTTGCTACTTGTGCACCAAACGCAGCTGCCGACAACAGGATGCCCTACCTCCTACTCCTACTTGTGAACCGCACCAGCAACAAAAGCACCTGCCGACAGCAAAACGCCCTGCCACTGAAGGACGAACTAGCGCCAGAATCACCACCAAAAGCACCTGCCGACAGCAAAACACCTTGCCACTGAAGGATGAACAAGTCCCAGGATTCCACGGAAAGATGCCTAACGTTACTTCTGAAACCCTACTAAAATTGAGAGTTGCTACCTGCTACTTGTGCACCAAAAGCAGCTGAACACAAGCACCAAAAGCAGCTGGCCGCTCTGCTACTGCTACTTGTGAGCCGCCTTACCACCAAAAGCACCTGCCGACAGCAAAACACCTTGCCACTGAAGGATGAACAAGTCCCAGGATTCCATGGAAAGATGTCTAACGTTACTTCTGAAACCCTACTAAAATTGAGAGCGCTTCGAACGTCACTTCTGAAACCGGAGAAAAAAACTCTGTTACTGCTACTTGCTACCTGCTACTTGTGCACCAAAAGCAGCTGAACACAAGCACCAAAAGCAGCTGGCCGCTCTGCTACTGCTACTTGTGAGCCGCCTTACCACCAAAAGCACCTGCCGACAGCAAAACACCATGCCACTGAAGGACGAACAAGTCCCAGAATTGCACGGAAAGATGCCTAACGTTACTTTGAAACCGTAGAAAAAACTATTGTCTTCGGAGGTTTTACTGCTACTGCTGGCTGCTACTGCCACTTGCTACCTGCTATTGTGCACCAGCTGCCGACAACAAGCTACTCTACCTCCTACTCCTACTTGTGGACCGCACCAGCAACAAAAGCACCTGCCGACAGCTGGCTGCTCTGCTACTGCTACTTGTGAGCCGCCTTACCACCAAAAGCACCTGCCGACAGCAAAACAGCATGCCACTGAAGGACGAACAAGTCCCAGAATTGCACGGAAAGATGCCTAATGTTACTTCTGAAACCGTAGAAAAAACTATTGTCTTCGGAGGTTTTACTGCTACTGCTGGCTGCTACTGCCACTTGCTACCTGCTACTTGTGCACCAAACGCAGCTGCCGACAACAGGATGCCCTACCTCCTACTCCTACTTGTGAACCGCACCAGCAACAAAAGCCCCTGCCGACAGCAAAACACCATGCCACTGAAGGACGAACAAGTCCCAGAATTGCACGGAAAGATGCCCAACGTTACTCTGAAACCCTACTAAAATTGAGAGCGCTTCTAACGTCACTTCTGAAACCGTAGAAAAAACTCTGTTACTGCTACTTGCTACCTGCTACTTGTGCACCAAAAGCAGCTGAACACAAGCACCAAAAGCAGCTGGCCGCTCTGCTACTGCTACTTGTGAGCCGCCTTACCACCAAAAGCCCCCGCCGACAGCAAAACACCATGCCACTGAAGGACGAACAAGTCCCAGAATTGCACGGAAAGATGCCTAACGTTACTTCCGAAACCGTAGAAAAAACTATTGTATTGTCTTCGGAGGTTTTACTGCTACTGCTGGCTGCTACTGCCACTTGCTACTTGCTACCTTTGCACCAAACGCAGCTGCCGACAACAGGATGCCCTACCTCCTACTCCTACTTGTGAACCGCACCAGCAACAAAAGCACCTGCCGACAGCAAAACACCCTGCCACTGAAGGACGAACTAGTCCGAACTAGCGCCAGAATCACCACCAAATGCACCTGCCGACAGCAAAACACCATGCCACTGTCTTCGGAGGTTTTACTGCTACTGCTGGCTGCTACTGCCACTTGCTACTTGCTACCTTTGCACCAAACGCAGCTGCCGACAACAGGATGCCCTACCTCCTACTCCTACTTGTGAACCGCACCAGCAACAAAAGCACCTGCCGACAGCAAAACACCACCAAAAGCACCTGCCGACAGCAAAACGCCATGCCACTGAAGGACGAACAAGTCCCAGGATTCCACGGAAAGATGCCTAACGTTACTTCTGAAACCCTACTAAAATTGAGAGTTGCTACCTGCTACTTGTGCACCAAAAGCAGCTGAACACAAGCACCAAAAGCAGCTGGCCGCTCTGCTACTGCTACTTGTGAGCCGCCTTACCACCAAAAGCACCTGCCGACAGCAAAACACCTTGCCACTGAAGGACGAACAAGTCCCAGGATTCCATGGAAAGATGTCTAACGTTACTTCTGAAACCGTAGAAAAAACTATTGTCTTTGGAGGTTTTACTGCTACTGCTGGCTGCTACTACCACTTGCTACCTGCTATTGTGCACCAGCTGCCGACAACAAGCTACCCTACCTCCTACTCCTACTTGTGAACCGCACCAGCAACAAAAGCACCTGCCGACAGCAAAACACCCTGCCACTGAAGGACGAACTAGCGCCAGAATCACCACCAAAAGCACCTGCCGACAGCAAAACACCATGCCACTGTCTTCGGAGGTTTTACTGCTACTGCTGGCTGCTACTGCCACTTGCTACCTGCTACTTGTGACCAAACGCAGCTGCCGACAACAGGATGCCCTACCTCCTACTCCTACTTGTGAACCGCACCAGCAACAAAAGCACCTGCCGACAGCAAAACACCATGCCACTGAAGGACGAACAAGTCCCAGGATTCCACGGAAAGATGCCTAACGTTACTTCTGAAACCCTACTAAAATTGAGAGTTGCTACCTGCTACTTGTGCACCAAACGCAGCAGAACACAAGCAACAAAAGCAGCTGGCCGCTCTGCTACTGCTACTTGTGAGCCGCCTTACCACCAAAAGCACCTGCCGACAGCAAAACACCATGCCACTGAAGGACGAACAAGTCCCAGAATTGCACGGAAAGATGCCGAACGTTACTTCTGAAACCGTAGAAAAAACTATTGCCTACTGAGGTTTTACTGCTACTGCTGGCTGCTACTACCACTTGCTACCTGCTATTGTGCACCAGCTGCCGACAACAAGCTACCCTACCTCCTACTCCTACTTGTGGACCGCACCAGCAACAAAAGCACCTGCCGACAGCTGGCTGCTCTGCTACTGCTACTTGTGAGCCGCCTTACCACCAAAAGCACCTGCCGACAGCAAAACACCATGCCACTGAAGGACGAACAAGTCCCAGAATTGCACGGAAAGATGCCTAATGTTACTTCTGAAACCGTAGAAAAAAATATTGTCTTCGGAGGTTAACACCATGGCAGTGAAGGATGGATCTGCCCTGACACGCTCCCCCTTGCGTTGGCCGGGGTCGGCGGACTCCCTAGCGCGTTCCCCCTTGCGTCTGCCGGGGTCGGCGGATAAGGATCCTTATAAGGGCACATCAGGACAGATCAAGCGCTTCATCCCATGATTTCGGTTGATATGTTTCGAACATGCAAGCATCAGGTAGTAGTAGTAGTAGTAGTAGTAGTAGTAGTAGTAGTAGTAGTAGTAGTAGTAGTAGCAGAGTAGTAGCAGTAGCAGTAGCAGTAGCAGTAGCAGTAGCAGTAGCAGTAGCAGTAGCAGTAGCAGTAGCAGTAGTAGTAGTAGTAGTAGTAGTAGTAGTAGTAGTGGTAGTAGTAGTAGTAGTAGTAGTAGCAATAGTAATAGTAATAGTAATAGTAATAGTAATGGTAATCGTAATCGTAATCGTAATCGTAATAGTAATAGTAATAGCAGTGCAGTACCTCTTCTTCCCTTACGCGCTCCCCCTTGCGTCGGCCGGGGTCGGCGGATTTTTTTGAGGGATCCTGCCGCGTGGCAGGAGAGTGCCGTGGCACATTCATTTGCTGGTCTTCGGGAGGTCTCCTGAAGAATAAAGTGAAGGGATGGCTTTGTCACCGATGCGATGTTGATCATAAGACCCGAGCAGTCACAAAGATTCGGCTGTTTTGATTTTGAGTCTATTATATTTTATTTATCCCTGATTAATCCCTTTGTTTTTCCTACAACTTTCTGATTCTGGAGCCATTTTTCATTGCACTTTGCGAGACCACATTCATTACATTCATTGACTCAAGACTTGAGTAGGCCCACGGCTTGCCAGTTCAGTTTACGCGTCACCAGGTGTCTTCAGGGAAGATGCCAGCTTCCAGTGCACATATCAAAGTCCTGACTCCTGGAATCTCCCGGAGAAGCCAATGACGTCATCATGTGCAGATGTGATGCATGTGATGCAAAGGAAAACGAGTGACGACAAGACGACATCAGACGACATCAGTTGACCATCTTTGATCATGTTAGATTCGTTAGATCGTGGATTCTCGACAGAGATGGATGTGGGAGTACTATGCTCCCCCAAGCAATCTCAGAATTCCTGTTGAGGATTGTAGACAAATTCGATACTAATTATACAGGTTTCTACGTATTTAAATGTATTTAATCTGATCTTAGTCTGAGCAAATTTCTTGGTTTTTGTTTGCCGAGGTCTTATGGGCTTAATGAATGTGGATGGCCTTGGTGCTGCCGGACAGATGGTGTTGGTGGTGATGTGCCTTTGGCCTTTGAAAACGCGTCTTTTTTCTATCAAGGAACATCGAAGCATGTCGAAACATATGTCGAAACATCTCGAAACACATTCTTTTCTTCTCATTTATTAACTTATTTCTTAGCTCATGTCTTCTCAGTTCTTTTCAATCCACTTCCTTTGGATGAGTTGATTTTCTACAGTTCATGTATGTTATGCTACATAGATTTCAATGCCGAACAAAATTGCCCAAGAAAATCTGGACACCCACTGGAGACTGCTCCCAGACTGGAAATAAATTGCCTCGAACATGCCTCGCGCTTGCACGCCGTTGCAACGGTTTTGGTGTCCTGTTGTAATTTTATTCGATATTTTGTTCCTGAGGTTTTCCTTACTTTTTCTGCTTTGCCTTCTCAAGCAGTGCTCTGGAGGCAGAGAATTTGCATGCAGTGATGAAACGTAATGCCACAAGTTTTACGAACATGGAACAAGATGGAACCACCATGTTCTGAAGGAGGAACATCTTCAATGATGTTTCTGGATCCTCCTTCCGTTCCGGTTCCTATCCCAGATCCGCTGAGAAGAGTAGACTTTGCCACCTGACTCAATCTATACAGCCCTATCACTGCCTATCACCCTATCTATTGCAATATATTGCAATTCTGTAGAGCTTTCTCCCCAGCTGTCCTGAGAGGCGGCTTGAGGCGACGTTTCTTTGCTCGAACTGAGGAGCCCCGTGTGAATTTCAAAATCATGATCAAACTATTTCAAAATGTTCAAATAAATTGTTAATTGCCGTTTCTTGATATTTGTTTATACCAATAGTACCGCACAAGGCGGTGGTGGAAGTTTCAGAATAGGAAACCTATAGGAGAGCTTGGTTGTTGTGAATCACGGGTGGCAGAGCGAATCCACTGATGGACTGAAAGGTGGTTGGAGTTGTTTTTTTTTACAATGGTTGCAGTGGGCACCTGGTCGGTCACCTCACCCACAACTGCTGGATGTAGTGTGGTGTGGTGCAGCTGTAGTTGTAGTTGTCGTGTAGTGGAGTTGTAGTCGTGGTGTAGTGTAATTAGTGTAGTGTAGTTGCAAGTGCACTTGTGGTGGTGTAGTGACAGTAGTGTAATGTAATGCAGAGTAATGTAGTGTAGTGTAATGTAGTGAAGCGGAGTGTGATGCAGTTGTTGCTCTAGTTGTAGTTGTAGTCAGCGTAGTGTATATTGTAGTGTAGTATAGCATAGTCTAGTGTGATGTAGTGTGGTGTGGTGTAGTGCAGTGTAGTGTAGTGTAATTAATGTAATTAGTGTAGTGTAGTGTAGTGTAGTGTAGTGTAAAGTAGTGTAGTTGTAGTTGAAGTTGTAGTTGTACTTGTAGTTAATGTAGTATAGTGTAGTGTAGTGAAGTGGAATGGAATGGAGTGTAGTGTACTGTAGTAGTGTAGCGTGGTGTAATGTATTCGTGTAGTGTAGCATTGTGTGGTGTAATGTAGTTGTAGCTGTAGTTGTTGTAGTTGTAGCTGTAGTTAGTGTAGTGTAGCGTAGCGTAGCGTAGTGTAGTGTAGTGTTACTGTAGTGTAATGTAGCGTGGTGTAGTGGAATGTAATTGTTTAGTGGAATGTACTTAGCGTAGTGTAGTGTAATGTAGTGCAGTTGTAGTTGTACCTAGTGTAGTGCAGTGTAATTGAGTGTACTCTAGTGTAGTGTAGCCAAGTGGAGTGTAGTGTAGTGTAGGTGTAGTTGTAGTTGTAGTTGTAGTGTAATGTAGGTGTAGTGTAGTTGTAGTAGTTGTTGTGGTTGTAATCGCAGTGTGGTGTAGTGTAGTGGTGGTTGTAGCTGAGACTGCTACAAAACTGTCAGGTTTTGCTCACTCTTGACAAGGTGCACAATCCCTTGCGCCGGCCACGCGAAGCGACATCTGAACGTCCAAGTGCTTCGAAGCTGGTGTGTTTTGTACATTTTGACTTCGAAATGTGCTTCGCACTACAACGGCGTGCGCTTTTTCGACATCTCAGCAAATGCTCCGACCCTGCTGTGTTTTGTGCATTTTTAGTTCGACATGTGCTTCGCGCCACAACGGCATGCACTTTTCCGACATCTCGACTTCCAGAAGTGGTCCGAGCATGGTGTGCTTTGCGCGTTTTGACTTGGAAATGTGCTTCGTGCCACAACGGCGCGCACTTTTTTGACATCTCAACTTCCAAAAGTGATCCGAACCTGGTATGTTTTGTACATTTTGACTTGGAAATGTGCTTCGCGCCCCAACGGCGTGCAACTTTTCATCCCTCATCTGACCGCATGGCTCCGTACCTGCCGCTTTAGCGAGCCTACTCTTCGACCCGACGGAGCCACACATCATTGGAAAAACACAGGGTTTCGCAACTTTCCTACTTTTTCGCGCGCCTGCATCTTCTATCTTCTTACTCTTTCTCTTCTCTGATCTTCTCTCTTCGGCTCTTCCCCTCTCTGACTCTTCCCACCTCTGCTTTTCATTTCCCATCTGTGTCCATATTGCCGGAAGTTTGACTTCTGAACTTCCTTCGGTTACAGGACAGTTTTGCAAAAACAGGACAGTTTTGTGTGTCCATTGGGGTCTGACGAACGCGAGGAGCCAGCACAGCGGCGGGAAGCGCGCGAGCGTGTCTCTGAGCTCCGAAACCAGTTAGCGCAGGGCTGAGCGAAACAAAGAGATACAAAGGGAGAAGAGAAAAAACAATAGAATTTAGAATAGAAGAGAAAGAGGTTTGAAAGAGGGAATCGAGTTCCAGAGGTAGGAAGAGAGATAGGAAGAGAGATACGAAGAGAGATAGGAAAACAGAGAAGAGATAGGAAAGAGAACACAACCCTAAAGAGTTTGAGTTATTTCAGCTGTGAATTTTGTACTTTGCTCATCTTTGCTCGACTTTGACTTTGTCTTGTTTTGCTTCCTTTGGATTTTTTGGGCTGTGGCTGCTGTGGCGTCCGAGGCGCAAATTCCATTGGTGCCAGTGCAAGGACAGTGTAGCTTGGTTTCTGGGTGCATGTCTCGATTCCAGAAACAGACGCGCCTAGGTTTTTAGTGTATTCAATGTGTATTCTAGGTTCTCTCTGCTTCTTTCTTCAGATGTGCTGGTCTTCTTGATTCTCTTTTCATCTCTTTTCCATTTTATACGAAGTCACATGCCATTGTTGTGCAGGATGCGAAGCCCCGTCTACGTCTCCATGTCCTATTTGCCAAAATGAGGCAGTGAGAGCCCTTTGAGAGCATTGAGATTTGTCATGATTTGTCAAAATGTGTCAAAACGGTCGAGAAGCGGCACAGGTGGTTTTGGTTTCCACGACAAGATTTGGCTGTTGGACACTGTTACTTCTTGCGCTTGTCTCGACAATTCTCCATTGTCTGTTTTCCAACAGCCGTAAAATTCGAAGACTTCCGGCGTTCCTTGCAATCTCTTTTGCAAACTCTTTTGCAAACTCATTCTATTATATATATATATATTAGATTTTTCCCACCTCTATCATGGCTGCTTCAACCCACTACCAGTAGAAGTGAATTCAGAGCCACAGGTGGAAATGCGGGAAATGGGTCATGTTACCTCTTTAGCTAGCCATTTAACCTGCCTTGTATCTGGGGTGTTGGGAGCAACCCAGCAACCTGTTTGCCGTGGATGAACAAGCACTGAGCAGGTCCAGATCCGGGTGGCTCTACAAAGATGTGGCCACACAGCCTGCAGGGATTGTACCTTGACAGAGCACCTTGATACAATCACTATATATAACATTAATATTATTATATATTCGTGATTCGTAATATTATACATTTGTAATATTATATCACATTCATATTACTACGTAATATTCATACTATATATATTATATTTCTAATATTATCAAAATTTATTAAGATATACCGTAGTACGGCACAAGGCGGTGGCGGAAGTTTCAAAAATAGGAAGCCTATAGGAGAGGTTGATTGTTGTGAATCACGGATGGCAGAGCGAAGACCGAAAGGTGGTTGAAGTTGTGTTTTTTGGAGTGGTTGCAATGGTTGCAGTGGTCACCTCACCCGCAACTGCTGGATGTAGTGTGGTGTAGCGCAGTTGTAGTTGTAGTTGTAGTGTGGTGTAGTGGAGTTGTAGCTGTAATGTGTAATAAGTGTAGTGTAGTTGCAGTTGCAGGTGTAGTTGTAGTTGTGGTGTGGTGTAGCTAGGGTTTTGTATTGTAGTGTGCTGTAGTGTTGTGTACCGTAGTGTGGTATACTGTAGTGTAGCCTAGTGTGGTGTAACGTAAGGTAGTGTAGTTGTAGTTGCAGTGAAGTGTAGGGTAATTAGTGTCGTGTAGTGCAATGTAGTGGTACTAGTAGTTACAATTGTAGTTGCAGCTGCAGTTGTAGATGTAGCTGTAGCGCAATGTAATGTAATGTAATTTAATGTAATGTAATGTAATTAGTGTAGCGTAGTGTAGTTGTAGTTGCATTTGTATTTGTAGTTGTAGTTTGCTGCAGTGTAATTTAGCGCTGTGTAGTGTAATGTGGTGTAGTTGTTATTGTTGGTGTAGCTGTGGTAGTATTAGTTTTGTAGTTGTAGTGTAATTAGTGTAGTGTAATTAGATGCAATTAATGTAGTGTAGTGCAATTAGTGTAGTGTAATGTAATTAGCGTCGTTTATTTGTATTTGTAGTTGTTGTAGTAGTGTAGTGTAGTTGTAGTTGCAGGTGTCGATCTATTTATTTCACTCTATCTGCAATCTGCAAGCTTGAAAACGAAGCTATTCTGCAAGACTTCCTCAACTTTTGAACTTGATAACGTCAAAAAGGAAGCAATTCTGCGAGACTTCCTCAATGTTTTGAAGTTGGCAACCTCAAAAACGAAGCAATTCTGCGAGACTTCCTCAATTTTTGAGGATGGCAACATCAAAAACGAAGCAATTCTGCGAGACTTCCTTCAAAAATGGAAAGTTGAGTGCAGAGCTGACGGCCTCGTACCAATGCGTTTTGCGATTTTTCCACTCCACCTCTCTAAAGCACCGCGCCTGCCACGAAAAAGTGATGCCAGGTCATACGAAGTGCTGCACCTGTCACGCAAAATCATCTTCCCAAAACTGACGATCTGATTCTCCCAAATGCAACCCCTCTCAGGAAATCAGCGCCCGGATCTCCTAACATCTCTGAGGTTCTTGTAACTACTGCGCCTGCCACGGAAAATGCATCCTTGCAGATCCTCTTCAAATGTCCCACGCCTGCCATCGGTTTTGGAAATGCTACAAAGCCATCACGTTTTGCTAACTTTTGACAAGGTGCACAATTCCTTGCGCTTACCACACAAAACGGCGCTTCAACGCCCAAAAATGGCGCGAACATATAGTGCTTGGCACATTTTGACTTCGATATGTGCTTCGCGCCACGGCGTACACTTTTTGAACATCTCAACTTCCAAAAGTGCTCCGAGGCTGAGGTGGTTTGTACATTTTGAGTTCGAAATTTGTTTCGCGCCGCAACGGCGTGCACTTTTTGACGTCTCAACTTCCAAAAGTGATCCGAAGCTAATGTGTTTCGTACATTTCGACTTCCAGATGTGCTTCGTGCCACAGCAACGTGCACTTTTTCGACATCTCAACTTCCATAAGTGGTCCGAGACCGTCAGTTTTTTAACACTTTTGACTTCCAAGCGTGCTTCGCGCCACGACGACGTGCAATTTTTCATCTATCATCTGGCCAGATGGCTCCGCACCCGCCGCTTTAGCGAGCCTACTTTTCGACCCTCTGGAGCCGCAAATGATTGGAAAAACAGAGTGAATCGCCACTTTTCTACCGTTTCGCGCGCCTGGATCTTCTTTCTTCTAACTCTTTCTTCTAACTCTTTCTCTTCTCTGATCATCTTCTTCTTCTCTTCTTCTTCTCTTCTCTTCTCTTCTCTGCTCTGCTCTGCTCTGCTCTTCTCTGCTCTTCTCTGCTCTTCTCTGCTCTGCTCTTCTCTTCCCTTCTCTTCTTCTTTCTTCTCTTCTCTTCTTTTCTCTTCTCTTCCCATCTCTGCTTTTCATCTGTCCATATTGTCGGAAGTTTGACTTCTAAACTTCTTTCGATTAATCATACAACTGACGAACACTTGTTAAAACATTGAAACAACTGGAAGGCTGAGAAACAATTGGATAGATGAGGTTGTTGGACAGCACCAACATGTTTGTTGCCCAGAAACTTTTGAGGTTTGAAGGCATTCATGTTGATCGGCGAAGAAACAGACACATGACAAGCATAGCCGAAGAGCAAGGACGAATACAATGTGAAAAAACTGGGAACAACATAGTGACATGTATGAAATTTGAATGCGGCTAGAAATTGTGTTTGATATTGTTGGATTGGGGTCTCAGTTTCGGAGTCGGCGTATTTGACACAATTTGTTACTTTCAAAGAAGGGGTCGAAGGATGGCAGAGGTTGTCCCGAGTCCAGCACACCCAACACCGATGCAGGTACAACCCGCCTTGTGGACATGGCACAGCCTTGCCACATTTGTCGTGCTCCCATCGAGGGCCTTCAAATTGTTTACATCTGAGGACACAAAGCCGACAAAACCGTTACCGCTGCTGTAGATCTGCTCATGTATGGAACATGTTAGACATGATGACAATGATAGAAACATGTTTTGGACATTGTGTTTGAATTCCTAAGTATGTTTTTGCATTGTTTTGAAGATGTTTCCTATCTGATTTTTTCAAAACCCCACATGAGCCAAAGGGTTGGCAAAACCGAAATATTTTGAGCGGTGCTGACACGTCATCCAGCTGCCAAGCAGCATCGCCACATGGCCGTCGCACGTTCCAAAAAAACATGGCCCGGCAAGGACCAATAGATCTGAAAGTAGATACAGTCAGTAGACAGTAGACTCTTCAGTAGACATATGTAGACATTATACAGATCTGTTTACAAGTGTTTTCCAACATAATGCAGCAGGTATAATATAGCATACATCATGAGCATACTTGGGTCATAAATCACAAAATTTGAATCTCTTTAGCCTGTGCTGGCATTTCCAGCTTCTGATCAGCAGGTTCCCCCATCATAGCAAGCGCATGTGGTAAGTTGCAAGGGCAAGGAAAACTCAGGGCTGACCCTGGCGCTGGTCTAGACTCCTAGAGCCCCAAACATCCTTGGGAACCGATCCAGATTGATTCCAATAATTGTGCTAATTCCTGTAATCCCTTCTTCCTAATACTAAACACCCCCCCCTATTACTAAACACGGCAGGTAGTTTTTAGTATTAGGGGGGGTATTTAGTATTAGGGAACCCTAATACTAAATTAAAACCCTTAATAATAAAAACAATCTTTTCCGATCTCAAAATCAATTAAATTTCCATATATAGCGCAATTAACATATTGCCAAAAATTGGATTTCGAAGTTTCCCCCCAATATTAAATTAAAACCCTTAATAATAAAAGCTAGTTTTTCCGATTTCAAAATCAATTAAATTTCCTTATATAACGCAATTAAAATATGGCCAAAAATTGGATTTCGAAGCTTCCCCCCGAATACTAAACACCCCGGGGTTGACTAGTTTTTAGTATTAGGGGGGGAAACCCACAAATGGTAGCTTGATTTTTAGATTGTTTTCTAAAGGGGAGCAATAAAAAGTCAAATTGGCCAATCGGAAATTTTCAAAAATTGGAGATGGACACTAGTTTTTAGTATTTGGGCGGGGTTTAGTATTCGGAGGAAGGGATTAATTGTAATTGCGCTAATTCTAATTGTGCTAATCTTGCTAAATATAAACACAAAGATTAGCGCAGAATTTCACATATTTCAAAAGGCTTTGTGACGGTTGGTGACGGTTTGTGTTTTTTGCTTGTGTTTTCTGCCCCAAGACCTTGGTGCTTGGCAATAGGCATCTGTGGAAGTCTTCGTCTCATGTGACATATGTTTGTGCTGTGTGCCGCCTGTGCTGTGTTTGTGCAGTGTTTGCGCTTTGTGCCGCCGCATCGCAGTTCATTAGACAGTAGCTCGAAGTAGCTTGCAACACCAAGGGAAAGACACCTTCGACTAACAAGTTGGAGAACCAGATGACACGGACGATTCGTGAAAACAAATAACATCATATCTCAGACGTCAGACGTCCAAATTGTTTTTATTTTTGTTTTCAGAAGCGCCTTTCCGCAATGAGCAACGGCCACCTCTTGGTGAGTGAAGAGAAAAGTGCCAAGGCCTGAGAATCGAAACGGCAGAACTAGCAGAACTGGCAAGTGTGTCCATGTCCATGGTACTAGGATGATCTAGGATGGTATAGGGCTCGTACTAGGATGTGAGATGATGTGATGATATATGAAGATATGTGAGGTATTGTCAGCTGCTGTCCATGTGCCCTCACTGAGAGTACACAACAAGAACAAGGGAAAACAATGGAAAACGTATGAATGGTTCTCAATGCATGTTGATGTGAAAGAATCCTCCTGAAAGAATCACTCCCTTGGTTTAAACAAACACTTTCTCGACCCCAGTGTGCCCTGGACGCCTCTGGAATCTTCTGGACCAACTGCAGTTGGTTTAAACATGTTCGAACTATATATATATATATGTATACATATACATATACACAAACGTTTTTAAACAACCCTTCTGGAGCTGTTTTCCTGACACGGGCTGTCAGGCAGTGTCTCAGGTGCAACAGCCATGGTGGAGGCTGTAGTTTGATGTATATTCCACGTGTTCGTTGTTTTGCAGACATGCATTCGGAAATTTTGCACTGCCAACAGACTTGGTTGCACCACCGGGCAGAGCCGCCGTGAGTGTTTTTTTCGTGTACTTTCCTTCTGCTTTGGCGGTGTGTTGGGGGTGGGGTGTAAGAGCTCTAAGAACGTTCGATTCAATTGGTTGCTCGCTTCATACTACGCGTCAACTTGCCCGCTCACTGGACGCTACGTTTCAACTTGCTGGCTCACCCAATACTACGCTTCAACTTGCTTGCTCACTTGATGACACGCTTCAACTTGAGCAACTTGTCTTTCGAGAATCCGTGTCACCAGCAGCACTGCAGAGCTTCATGACTCACTTGAAGCGATTTTGGTAAACCGCTCCTGAGGGAGGGAAGACACGCATGTCCTGGGACTTTGTGGGAACACAGAAATATGATGAAATATGCTTTGTTTTTTAAAAACACAGCTCATATTCCACCAATAGAACCATGAAGCCAATTTGTGCATTCCCAAAACCATGACTACCAAACATATCATCGAAGGAAGTTTAGAAGTCAGACTTCTGACAATATGGAGAGCTGGAAAAGCAGAGGTGGGAACAGAGAAGAAGAGAGAAGATCAGAGAAGAGAAAGAGCGAGAAGAAAGAAGATGCAGGCGCGCGAAAAGGTAGAAAAGTTGCGATCCGCCGTGTTTTTCCAATCATTTGTGGCTCCGGAGGGTCGAAAAGTGGGCTCTTTAAAGCGGCGGGTGCGGAGCCATCTGGCCAGATGAGAGATGAAAAATTGCACGTCGTTGTGGCGCGAAGCACATTTGGAAGTCAAAAGTGTTAAAAACTGACGGTCTCGGACCACTTATGGAAGTTGAGATGTCGAAAAAGTGCACGCCGTTGTGGCGCGAAGCACATGTCGAAGTCAAAATCTACAAAGCACACCATTCTCGGAGCACTTCTGGAAGTTGACGTGTTGAAAAAAAGTACGCCGTTGTGGCGCAAAGCACATTTCCAAGTCAAAAATGCAAAAACTTACGGGTGCGGAGCACTTTGGACGTTCAGATGTCGTTGCGCGTGGGAGGCGCAAGGGATTGTGCACCTTGTCAGATGTTAGGAGGTCCGGGCGCTGATTTCCTGAGAGGGGCTACATTTTGGAGCATCAGACCTTCAGTTTTGGGAAGATGAGTTTGTGTGACAGGTGCAGCACTTTGTATGACCTGGCATCACTTTTTCGTGGCAAGTGCAGTAGTTTCGAGACATGGGCTGGAAAAATCGCAAAACGCATTGGCACGAGGCCATCAGCTCT